TCTCTCTTTAACGTGGAAAATTGCAAGAAAATCCATTTGTTCCTTATCTGGAGATAAGGATGTGTAGTTTCTTGAAATGAGTGTTAGAGTATTGGACTAGCAGTCACTCATGATACCATCATTCAAATTCCAGCTCTGCCAGTAATCAGTTTATAGCCTCTGAGTATCTCAATAATCTCATCCATAAAATGAGGATATTTGATTAGATTACTAGTTTTTGTGCTGCTTCTGGCTCAGTTTCTCGACATTGTCTTTCTGACTGTCAGAAGGGAATGTGGGGAGAGGAAACACAGACAGGAATCTTCGCTTAGGGGTCCATACTCCACTTTTAAATTTACACACAGCATGTACTGGGATTTTATGTAGGTTTTGTTTGATAACTACTGGCCAGGGTGATCTGCAACATCCCTCTATTGCTAGATTTTATTGTCAATTTTATCTTGAAAAATAAAATTTATTTTATTATCGGTTATTATCATTATTGTTTTTAAAACTAGAAACATTGCCACTGAGTTAATTTACAGTGTGAACCAGATTTCTTGCATTGTGTATAGTGTGTCTTTTGGAAGGCTGGAGGGTACTTTGTAATTAAACAAAAAGTCAAATATCAGTAGATTGCCCTTCTAGCTGTTGAGAATACATATAAACTTAGAGCTATGATGTTTATTTCTCCTAGGCCTTACTACCCACAAGGCGCTGGTTTAATACCATCCTGGATGACTCCCACCTTTTGGTTCACTGTTACCTTTCCAATCTTGTTCATAGGGAAGAGGATGGCCATCTTTTTTCCCAGGTAAGCATTGATATTTCTGAACATAAGTTACTGTTTTAATTTCTAAATTGAGCTTTTCTTTGCCATGCAAGTGGGAGTGGGGCATGGCACAAAGGTAAATTTTTAAAAATACCAAATTGAATGATGTAAATTCCCAATTAGTCATTTTAAAGTAAAATCAAGCCTTAATATGTGAAAGGAATGTATTCTTGTATAGGTAGCCTTTAGTAATTATATATTATAACCTTTTGTTAATGATGTGTGGATTTGTTATTGGACTAAATTATGATTTTGTGGGCATAGTCTCACATGTTCACTTATTTTGATTTTATCAATACCTACTGTGGAATATAGTAGATGAGGAACATTCACTTCAAATGAACTATGCCTCATTACCATGACTGTATCTTTCCATAAGATGATGATGACAGGCAGTTGATAGTATAGAGTGTACATTCTACCTTGGGTAGGAAGGCAAAGTACTAGTATTTCACATTTCCTGTAATGTGATGCAGAAGAAAACATCTAACAAACTTCTAATGCTTGTCTTTCAATGAGGTCATAATTGGAGATACAATTTTGTATGTTTACATATATTCTTTTTATTTTTTTATCTTGTATCTGTGAACACTCCTCTTTTATTCTCTCTTTTTTAAAATTTCTACCTAGTGATTTGTCACATATATTAAAATATGTTAAGAAATTAGTAGTGCATCTACCATAGAATAGAACTAAAAATAATAAAGATTTGGGCTGAGTGCAGCCAGTGGGCTCTGTTGATGCTACTGCCACCCAGGGAAAGCAGGGGCCCATTAGCTGCAGGAACTAAATCAAACAAGGGGTTTGATGGCCATGGAGACTCATGAGAGGAATGAATAACTTAGCTTTCCTTACCTTGCTGTTTTTCCCTGATAGAAGCAGCACATAAAAAAGGATTATCTCCAATTATGAATTCCAAAATCCTCATTCAGGGTTTTAAGTAAGAGACCTCAGCAGTTCCCCCCATAGTGTAGTTTTATAAATTTGTGATGATATAGATAGATAAGATTGTTTATTGTTCTGTTTTGTTTTTTCATTAAAATGCTGGGCTTCTTTGATTATCTCCTTAATGTCTTTTAAGTGTTGGGATTGCAGTTTAAGTTCTTCTTTGGACAAGGAGACAATGTATATGAAATAGACTTAACAATTTATTCACATATTTTGTTTTCACATAAATAAAACATATTTGGTTGGGTATGTTCTAAAATGTTTTTTGTAATGTTTACATTCCAAAATTTTTCAGTGCCTCTAAGAAGGTATATGGACTTGTTTATTATTTTTAATAAATAGTGTTATGCTTTCTTGATCATATGTTCATACAGTTTATTAATTTAAATGTATCTTTTCAGCTTTTGGACATGCTCAAATTCTATACTGGTTTTGAAATTAACGACCAGACTGGAAATGCTCTGACAGAGAATGAGATGACTACAATTCATTATGATAGAATTACTTCTCTACAGGTACTTGAAATGCATTATAGCCTTTACATACGCTCCATAAGATTGGGTCGTACTAAAATTTAGGTTTTGCATAGGTACAAATAGAAAAAGGTATTAATTTAATAGTATTTTCATCTTCAACTTTTTTAATGTTTCTAATTTTGATGAATTCATGGAAATGGCTTCCTTTCACAGTCCATCTAAGTCCTGTGAATCAATAGACTGATATTTGGTACTCAGAATTAGTTAATGAACCAGTTTGGCACATTTATATTATGTATTGGCTCTGTTGTTATTATTTTATGAAAGAGTATTTCAACATATGGCAAGCTATGTATGCATGAGCACATTTTGCACATTTTTAAGATAAACACATGGAATGAAACTGAAATTTACCAGTATGGCTCAGATATGCCAAAAAAATACCTTTGTTTATTTTCTGTGACTGATCTCATCTTGCTCTTGAGCCCCACTTTCTGATGGCAGAAGGAAGCTTTTATTTGTGAATTTAAAGTAATTCAGTTTCTTTTTTATTTTAAAGAAGTTTTTTGCAGGGGAGGGTAAAGACTAAACTAAGTCAAATGTTAGTTCAAATTCTCTTTCGTAATCAGTTCTGCTGTCTGTCAAGGAGTCTGTGATCTCCTTGTTTCCTAAGGTAGCTTCTGGATACATGGAGATGTTAAGGTAGCCTTACTGTTTTGGAAGAAGAATGAGCACAGACGTCTTTTCCTTTTTTTTTTTTTTTTTTTAGAGTATTAGTGTTTTTGTTCTTCTGCCTCTGCCCTTGAAGTTACCGCAGCTGGTGTGGCATGTAGTCTGTTCTGTTGGCACAGGCAAAGCATAATGATTGCTCCCAAGGAACTTGGCTGTTTCCTCTGTTCAGGAGACCCCAACTTTGTTCTTGATGGTGCTGGCATTCTCCTGAGAGCTGACTCTCATTCATTTCATGGCTTATATGGCTCAAGCTCAGGCTTGGGTTGCAGGGTCATTATGCCGTTGTCTGCAATAATTCCACAACAAGCTCACCCTTAACCTTGGCAGTCTTCTGTGTCACCCATGATGGAGCACATGAAAACTTCTGGATCTTTTCTGTGCCACATGGACATCAAGGGAGACTAGGGATGTTATCTTAGTCACTCTGTTATCAAATCACCATCATGCTGCTATTTCTATTTTCTTGCAGCTCATGTTGTTTGAGCATGTTATGTTGTAAGGTCCTCTATTCCCAGCGTACCAAACAAAAGCAGAACAGAAGCGTAATATGTTTTTGACCTCTCCTTCAGTTATTTCTCTAGGGGCAATTTCCCTTGGGACTTTCTTTTAGTCTTGTTGGGCCAGTTCTTGATAATAAAGTGGGTTTTTTTTGCCCTCTCTTCCTATCAGTGAAGCCAGCCTTTGTGGCTATTTTCAAGTACGATATATTCAAAATCCAGGTTTAGAAATCAAAATCTCAACACTGGCATCGGGTGTCCCCAGCAATCTCTGCACCTGGCTTCAGCTCCTGCCTTTAAAAAAAGAAAAAGAAAAAGAAAAAAACAGAAAACTGAACATTGATTTTTTTATTTTTACTTTCCTGCTAGACCAATTCTAGTTTTTTTCCCATTGTATTGCTTCTGGCTCAACAAGGCAGAGATCACATAAGAGAAGCAAAGAAGAAAGAGAAGTGCATTTATATTTTCATTATATAGTAAGTAAATTGTAGA